TTGAGCACTCTGTTCTCTCAACAACTCTGATTGTTGAGAGCCTTGTTGGTGAAGCAAGGCTACTTTCTCGCGTTCAGCGTCAAGTTCATTTGAATGAACTTGGCGATAGTAGCATGTTGGGCATCTCGATTGAGAGCCTCTAGCATGACGCTAACAGCATGGATGCCCATGGTCGAACCCATCCGTTCAACCGCATCCCATTTGACATCGCTCAAATGGGAGTAGCCGTCACGCGTAGAGTGAAAGCTTTTGGTCATCTTCATCATCTAACATATTCATGTTAGATGTGAACGTGGTCCTTGGACGGACTACGAAGTGCTACCAGGTGTAACGGGGCACCCTGAAGCTTGTACTGATGACAGTACAAGCTACTTATTCTGATGACAGAATAAGGCGGTGCCTCATAACTTCACGTACACTCGTACGTGCAGGAGGAAGACGGTAAGAAGAAGCGAGTACTTGGTTAAAGTAAAAAGTAGAACTGTATTTAGTATAGTTAATGTCTGCAATAAATCACTATTTATCCTCATCTAGCTATGTCTGAATACAAATGTGCATATCAACTATCTGCTCACCACTCATTGCGTGCGTCTGTCGTGGTGTGTCTTCGTTGGTTGGTATAATGGCCTATATCAACCAATTAGGAACTACTCGTAAGTGCTACGGACTATTTGCCCTTATGACAATATTCTGAGAATATAACTCTTATAGTTATATTCTATTACCAATTTCTTATAAATTGTAATGTAACGATTCACCCCGTTACAAGTACTCAATTTGCTGCAATACTATTAAAATGGACGGTTTTCGATACGCCCAACAGTAACACTGTTAACGCACAAAAATGCGGCACATCCGCACCCATTGATGAAGGCTTTAGTCAGTTAAGCAGAGCGGAAGGCAGGTCGTGCCGTCAAAAAAAATTGCAAGTAGATGGGAGCTCATGGACGGCACACTTAACCCCCCGGTGCAAGCAATCCTATCCGATGAGGGCGTCGAATTTGAAAATCCTACCATTGATGCATGGTATCTATTGCATGATACTGAGCATATCAAAGTCGGACCAAAAGATCGCATTTGAATAAAATTTAGCGTCAGCATCGATCATTTGGTAATATGACAGATACAACGCTACGGCAAGCAGCTGTACCACAAGAATTATTGCCCGATGCGATTGAGTTTGCTTTCGATTCGAAGAACCGAATTTACAACCAAATTGTGGGATGCACACCATTTGAAAAGATATTTGGGGCGAAACCAGATATTCACCACGTGCGTAAATATGATCCTCTCGCCTATGTGCATGTGACAAAGGATCCAGATCGACCACGCAATGCGGACGATACCAATGTTGCATTTTTCTCGGTCTTCAAAATTCAATGTTACTTATAAGGTTTTTATCCCGGCGGGAACACACGAAAGTGGGCGCCGAATTTTAATATCAACGAATGGATTCGTTCAGGTGAAGTGCCACGATCGTTCACGAGCGCTTGCTTGTTCATCTAGGGACTCCAGGCCCGACTCGGACTCGGACGTGTTGGATGATCTTCTACCAAGTCAAATACGTGAGAATAAATCTTAACAGGCGTCACAGCGTCAATAATGGGCGATGCGCTAACAGAGATAAGCAGCATCCAGAAGGAGAAAGATCCATGCCTATCTTTATGACGCAGGTAACGATAACGATGGTCAATCGGCACAAAAAAAACTTCAGATCGCCTACAGGCTGACCATGACGGCTCGGATGATGATGCAAATGACAAAGCGTATCACCCCTTGCAGTAAACTATACAGATACATGCATGTCGTTTATAGGAGAGCCTGGTATACATAGTGTGAGCACACTAGGCTATATTAGTCTACTATCTGGGAATGGTGGTGATAGTGCTTTCGATGGACAAACTGTTCCTGTTTCTCTTAACGAAGAACTATCGAGCCGACTACTTTAGGAACAAAAGAAAACGGGGTAAGCCGTATAGAAATTGCTCGGAAGCGTCAAGATCGTGATGAAACACCGTCAGCAGATGAAGGGGCTGCGAAAAAAAAAACGACTAGGGCGGACAGTTCTTAGAGACGCTTCGGTGTGACACCAACCGAAATGCTTAAAGGACTACGTCGCGTACGCTACTTGTGCACGCATTCTTTACGAAGCAGTAAATCCAATTAAGGCTTCTGATGTCAAGATGCCGAAGAATAGAAGGTACGCGAGTCGTTGAAGTATTGTGCCGAATAGTATGCAGCTCAACTGCATGAGATGGATGCTTTACGCAAGGAAAAAGGTCTGGAAGAGGCCTCAACATTGGAGGTGCCAACAGACGTAAAACCTATTTGAACAATCTGGGTGTGGTGTGTAAAGTCGGACCAATTTAAACATGTCACACAATTTAAGCCTTGCTTAGTTGCACTCGGCAACTGGCAGCTCTCAGGCATTGACTTCATGGAGACATTTTCACCGGTTGCACAGATGTCGAGTTTTTGACTAGTGCTGACACTATCTGCAAACCTGAGTCTGGAAGTTTACGTTGCGGATGTCAATACCGCATACCTAAATGCTACATTGGAAATACCACAGTATTTGAACAAATTGGAGAATTTCGTGGTGTCACAATGGCAACATCTATATTCTACAGAAGGCGTTATACGGGCTACGCCAGGCTGGCCGCAAGCTGAACACAGAACTAGATCGTTGAAGTACGGACAATGGCTGTGAGCTGTGCTTGTCTGATCCGTGTCATCTTTACAGGACCAGCAAGGACGAAAAAAACATTTGTTCTCGTGTATGTGGACGATATTCTATGCGCTACGAAAAAAATTAAAGAGGCAGAAAAGGTTGGTCTTTTTCGCGAAGCTCTAAGAAAGCTATGGAATCAAAGATCAAGGATTGCTGTCTAAATATCTGGGCTTCGAAGTCAAGGATATGGCTCCGCGTTCCACAAACTCTGTACGTTTGCCTCTTAGTAAGTAATTTTTGGTGTTCTAGTCCGTGCACCAAGTCCTGGCGCTATCGAAAGCTCTCCACGAAATCTCAAATGCCAAAGCTTACACATTCGACTTAACTGCGATCACAAAAATCTACTTCTAATTTTACATCGCAAATTTAAGATTTTAGAGCCGACTACGGCAATTCTGTGGTGAAGTGCTTCTGAAAGGATGATGAACCCAGGGGCCATCGAGACAAAAGGACAGAGGGTACATTCTGGGAAAGGGCGTCCGGGAGAGAAAATTCACGAAAGTGATCAGCCTTCAGGAAAGAGAAACCCGCTTGGACAATTAAGGAGAACACCTTTGTTCGAGTACCGGTTGAGAAGTACCAAAATAATATGACTAAGAATCTTATAATTGGACCCCATAGCAAGAGTAGACCGCGGTCCTTGAGTGTACATCGCAGTCCCTTACTATGGGACCTAGTAACTCATCGGTAGACCTGAGTCTCTCATTGGTAGACCTGGTCTCTCACCGGAAGACCTTGATCCCTCATAGGTTGACACCGCCCCTCATCCATAGACCATCATCCTTTACGATATGGCTGCTCGTGACCAGTCACGTATTAAGCCAGCGCGTAAGGCAAGGATATGGTGAAGGAGTTTAAGGATAGGATGATATTAAATACCGCTCAATTTGCAATATCCATGTGGCACGGTTTCACCGTGCGTTAAGGAACTTGTTAAGTTTATCAGCCTGATCCGGGGATGAGAGGTACTTAGCCGTCCGTTGGAGACAGTTGCGAGATAAGACCCGAGTGTAGATAGAACCCCACGAAGCATTTTGCCTGCGGGTTCGTCGGGTAGCAACACCCTATCAACACCGCTATCGGAAGCGGGTTCCCTACCACGCGGTTAGGGGGGCAAACTTAAGTCGAGGAGGTTAACACCCCTTAGAACACGAGATGAAGACCACAAGCGACAAGCTAACTGAAGAAATTGGCTGTAAGCCCGCTTACGAAATCGATTGATTGGCCACCTACCGGCCCATCAGTGAAGCATATCCACTTGGGGTCCAGGTATACTTCTTTCAAGACAGAAACATCTTCCTCTCCGTCCGAGTCGACCGAAGAGTTCCACCCGCCAGCCGACGGGTGCACAAGGTAATATAAGATCCGTACGCGGAATCAGGTCCCCCTGTAACTCGGCAGTCCGGCGTAGCGTATGTGTTAGGGGATCAATACGCAGTTTGGAGAACTCAATTCACCACAATTTCAGCGTTATGGAATCTCGGTAATCGCTACTATGGTTGATTGATTTTCGAAAGCGCCACTAAAACCCTCAGGTGTGAGAGACCACCCCTTATGAGCGATTGCCATCGCGCTGATGCATCATGCTTTTATGGACGTGGTTGACTCTGAAGCTTGGTGATTAGGTGAGCGATCGTTCCTGATATGGTGTCAAAAACGACAGTTTTCTAGGAAGAAAGCGCCGACAGAAGAGAGTAAGGATTAGATAAGAAACTTAGCCTAGACCTGTTCTAATATCTTTGTTTTGAGCTTTGCGCTGACAAGTAAGTGAGTTTCACAATTGATTAAATGTACTTGGGATTCATTCCTGACTAAATTAGGCCTACTTCTGGATTACACATAAAAATGACCCAGCCGAATATAATTGAACCCAGCCGTTTAGCATTTGCCTTAGAAATTACGCTAAAAAAAGGCTAGTTGGCTTTGTAAATACGTGGTGCGCAGCTATACCGAAAAGGTAATATTGACTATGTTAGCTCTCTTTTTTATCAGAGATGAGGCTACCGGTATAAGCGATACAAGGCTACCGGTAATTAAGAATGAACCGATACCTAAAATAGGTGCACAATACAATTGGTCTCTTCGTAAACTACTCTATTCGGTACATAATCCAGGCTGCCTTTACTTATCGCTCTATTTGATACCTAATCCAGGCTGAACTCTAACGGGAATGAACAAAACAGCTCCAGTTATTTTTCGTGGAGACAAACACTAGGCTCTGCAAGACCTCCAGCCAAGAAGTACATATCTCTGCATATACAGTGACCCCATGGCGTCCGTAAAACGATTGAATTTGAGCAAGTCACGTGATGACGACGAAAGCTCGTCGGCTTCTTCAATTAGTAACGAACGGGAGCAAGAGGCATTGTCAGAGAGACCGGAGGAGGAGGATTCCAGCTCTGACGAAGGTTCGGACAAGTGAGTGGCCAGTAATAGTGCGGTATATGGCCAAGTTAAAGCACACTGACGTCATGTTTGAATCAATAAAGGGATTTTGAGATTCCACCAGGTTTTGAAAGTGTCAAGGGGAGCGGAGCGATGACACGAGAGGCGGTGGTGAATACGGACCAAGAGCTCTGGTTCTTCAAGCTACCGAAGAGTGTACGTGGCTCCTTATCACAACTATGGAAATTATTGAGGGAGCGGTGATTTGACTTATGTTACTATTGACTTTTGTTCTGCTGCTACAGCTGGACGCATCAGCGCTTGCCAATGTGACGTTCAAAGTAGGTGAGGAAAATGTGGTAGTGAAGCCTGGAAAATTGCTGGCCAAGGTCACGGCCGGTGAAGACAACAAGAAGTACGTGCTGCAGAGCGAGGACCGCATGCTCACAGATCAGCTCGTGAACGCTCTGCCACTTGCCTCGGATCGTTCTCGCTTTGTGCTGGGCAAACCTTTCTCGCGTTGTTTTTCGCTGGTGGAAGACTGGTTTGAGGCGCCATCTACAGTATCAGAGAAGAAGACGACCGAGGTAGATCCTGGATTGCCTGTCGTGGAGAAGCGCCACAAAAAGCACTCATCGGAAAAGAGTGAGACGCACAAGTCCAAGAAGGTGAAGCACAAGAAGTGATTCCGATCGATGATGTCAATAGCGCAAAACCCAACAGACCGTCGAGGTATATTCTCGGTAGCTCAATTTTGATCTCCCCCATGATAATTCTTATAATCAAGAAAGGTTGTCGTCTAAAAGAGCAGAAGCGGTTCTTCTACCACTGTCTCTTGGCGTTTGGAGCTCTCGTGCCTGCTGTCCCTACTCTTCTTGCTCTTCTCGCCGTCGCCGCTTCTTTTACTGGAGCTGGTTTTCTTGTGGGTACTGCTTCTCTTACTGCGGTGATGGTGACGGTTCTCCTCTACTACAGCAGGCTCCTGCTTCTCATCACTGAACCCTTGTATCAGCAGACCCTCGTTCCGTGAGGACTTCTTGGAGCTAGATCGCTTGGATGATGACTCCTTTTTCTGCTTGCTCTTGTCCTCGCCACGAGCAGAACCTTTGTGCTTTGAACTTTTCTTTTTAACCTTCTTTGCGGTCTCAGCGAGCTTAGACGACGGTGTCTGACGATGAAACCACTGATCGGTAGGAACCTTCTCGTCTTTACCAAGCGGGGTGCTCAAATCAACTGCAGCTAAATCCGTCTCCTGCAAAACGCCAGATTACGTGAAGGTCAGCGAAGAAGGCCAAAAACAAGAAGACCTAGCATCGCCAATGAAACGCACATCTTCGTTGGCAAAATCGCGCTTCTTTCGACTGCGCCGGCGGTCTTCATCACTAGAGCGTGCACCGTCAGGCATCAGATCGTCCTCGAAGATATCACGAGACTTTGACTTCTGGAATCAGCACAAACAGACGTCAAGGTGTTATCAACGCATGGTCCAGAATACCCCAATGTACTCTATCGAACCTTGGATCCCTTCTTCGTTCTTCCATTCACGCCAACGCTCAAAGCGCCCATCATGTCCGCAAAACCCTTAGTTCAACCAAATATCATGGTGTGAGCTATATGACACAAAAACAGCAAGGATTCACCATAATTCTTACCGCGTTGGCTCCACCATTAGCAGAAGCCTGCGAACCGGCAGATAGGTAGAAAGGATCTTTGCGTTGCCGCTCTTGCTCGCGCGCGCCTTCACGTTTCTTCCTCTCGTTCCCATCTGTGGAACCCTCTGACTCCGATTCCGATTCTGACTCAGAAGAAGAGGAAGGGTCGTGATGACGACGATGACGGCTGTGTTTAAGACCAGGCTTCCGCCTGGAAGATGCATCGTCAATACCACTGTAGCCGCCGCCTACACCAGCGTGACCCTGACTGACGAACGAGATCTCAAGGTCATCTTCGTTCGAAAATGCCGATACATCACCACCCGTTTCAAGAAACTTGGCCTCTGATGTACTTAGAGGTTCGTTGAGATCGAGGCCGTCTGGTACCGGTACTTTTCGCTGAGCCTTAATGCCAACAGGAGCCAATCGCTCAGCAAAAAACGCCTTAAGCACATCCAAGCGCTCGACCGAATCAATCGATGCACTGCCGTCAAATGCGCGTTCGGTACGTTCTTGTGCGGTTAGCGCACCAAGTCCCATGCTCAATGCAAGCAGGAGCTGCTGTAAACAGACCGCGCGTTCTTGCACCTCGATATACTCGCTTTTTACGAAAGATGGCAGGTGCTCCGCAATAATTGTTGCAATACGCTCCACAGTGGCGTCATCTGCGCGTTCAGTCATGGCAGTAAGGATCTTCGGAAGTGACTGGAGCAAAACAGTCTGAACGTGAGCAGGCAACATAGTCATCCGAGGTTGGAGCATTTCATCTACAAGATCTTCCAGTCGCTGGAGCTTCTCCTCTTCGGTCTCGGTCTCGTCGTCTTCCTCTTCGTCCTCATCTTCATCATCATCCACATCTTCCAAAAACTCCGTGATGTATTCACCTGTAATCCAAGCTGCTGCATAGTACACTTCCTGAATAGTGCCCACCCCTGGACCGCTAAGTGCCTCTTTTTCCATCAACAACTGGATCATGTCGTCCACCATGACGCTACGCACACTCTTCACACGAACTGCAATGTCCACAAGCTGCCGCGCTACTTCTACACCATGCGAGCACTTTTTCCTTTCGTTATCTGTCCCATTTACCTTAGTACAGCTACTGCTGGAGCCAAGCATGCTGTCGGACGATTGAGCTCGCGATGACGACGACAGTGACGCATCAATTGTAGCAGCAGTATTTCCTGGTACGCGAGCAAGCTGTACCAACACGTGAATATACCAGTCAAAATCATGAATATTGGCATACTTGTTGACTGAGCAAACATGCAAGATGCGAGTAATGAGTTCATGACGGTAAGCACCATCAGCACTCAGCGTCTGGCGCATGAGTTCACGAACGATAGGCGCCGCGTTGTCGGGGTTTACCATGGCAGACAACAATTCCAATGCACGCATACGAATCGTCATATCGTCCACGGCAAGACATTCTACAATAACCTCCTGGTGCTCTGCGACGACGTATGGATGGGACTTCATCAAATTCCCTAAACCAACGAGACCCAGGTAGCGCAGGTTTTGATCCGGGTCTTCAATATAGCGACGCAAGTGATCATTACAGAGTCGAACAACTGCTGCAACATTACGCGGCTGCGATCCGTCACTCTTTTTCGTGTACATCAGCGCGGTTGCAACCGTACTGATGCACTCGTAGAGCAGCGATTTTGCTGGTGTGTTCTGGATAACAGTCGCCAGTGGATCCAAAAGTTTGCGAGCAAGTCGCGGCTCTTCCGGCACCAAACTCGCCAGCAATTTAACGACTTTGATCAGCATCCAGTTGTTCGACGATGTCGTAAGTAGACGGAAAAACTGTGGTGCGAGTCCTAGATAATTCTTCGGTTTCTTGTTCGCGAGCTCGCAAATCACATTCACGGCACACGAGACAACCGTAACGTCTGGTTCTTCCATCCTCTCCTTGAGTCGATCAAACGACAGTCGCAGCCCTTGCGGGTAGCGCAGAAACATCTTGTAGAGCACCAGCGTAGCTTTCTTCCGAACGTACGGCTTGGGTGAACCCATCATTGCCAGTACATCCCCCAATAAGTCTCTCGCCAAGTCCGTCGTGACAATGTTAGCCAATACATTGATCGCTAGTCCCACGTCGTACTCGTTTGCACTGCCAAACTCCTTCTTGAGTAAATTCGTACATAGCAGCACCACGTCGGTCGACTGCGTAAAGCTCTGACACGCAGCATTGTAGCCGATGCGTTTGTGAGCAAACCTCTCATAACTCATAACCTCCACAACGTGAAACGCCGCCCAGCACATGTCGTAGCCCAACATGTGGAGGTACGTGAGCTTGCGCACGGCCTGGGCCTTGATGAACGGGTCAGTGCTGCGCAGTTCCGTCTTGATCTCCTGCAGCGCCTGCGAGACGTAGTTCGTCACGTCGCCCTTGGTCGAGCGAATGCCCTTGACCAGGTCCCGCAAGTTCTTCTCGAACATGGCGGCTACTAAGTCGGTTGACGCCAAGCGCGAATGTAACAAAAGCGATACAAAAATACACACCCAAACCCACACGCAGAGGGGGAACACGTAGAAAGCACGCGCACACAGTAGATAGATAGATAGAATACGGAACACGAACCCGGGTTGATGGGAATGACTTGCGCTTTGTATGTGAAACGGGTGGCGACGTGAAATCTTTCAGGTCATGTTATCACTATCTAGACACTGTTATCACTATCTAGGGTGCCAAGCAGACTAGAGAGAGAGTGAGAGTGGGCGAGCATCGTTTTGACTGCAAGGGTATGGCAAGGTAGTCATCTGCATTAGGATCGAAAACGAATTGATGAATGATCCTTAACAAATCGACAAGACGAGACTGGAGCTAGTTCGGGCTTGAGTGTGTGTGCGATTTAAACTTCATAAGTAGCGGTTATAGCTCTCAGCCCATGACCAACCTCGGGAAGGTAGAATCCACATGACCGCAATGATCGCCACCAGGAGGAACTGCGTCAAGAAAAAGAGCAACACATCGATAATCCAAAGTGAGTGGCTACTCGATGATACTACCGATGTAGAAGGCAGTAGGACGACCACGTACAGCGCAAATACTGCACCGCAATGAGAAAGCCCACGATTTGGTTCCTGGATCGTCAGACCTTGCGACGAGTCGACTCGTGCCAGCCATCTGCGCGCAAAACGAAAATATTAAACTCCCCTCTTCAAAGTGTCTGTTGTTGTACGGTGTTTTGCAACTAGTTCAGTTCGATGAACTGGATTACTTATCAAAAAAGAACGAGCTCCAGAGCTTGCTTTCCCCCTATCACTAGTTCTAACGTACTGAATTAATTATACATACCAAAAGGGCGAGCCCCAGAGCTTGCTCCCCCTATCTTATCAGGGGAGGCCCCCTCTGACACCGACAGAGAAGGGTGACGTAAGTTCTGTTTAGTAAGTTTGTCGACTGAAAAGTACGGAGCTTTTTCTCCTGTCTTAATACGGCGATGTCATTTTCAATCCCATTCTTAGAGGACCAAACCACATCTGTTGAGAGTAAGTAACGTGACGTCGTATACGCCTGGCCGTCACTCGACTTTTTGACCAGGTCGGCGTAAAGTAGAATCGATTATTACATTGCGATGGATGCCCAAACGACAATGCACAATGGAAGAGCACAAGTTTGTAGCAAGTAAAAACTGCTTTGTATTCAAACTATCACATCAAAGACCGTGCAGACAAAAGTTGGTTGGTAGACTAGCACAGTAGTGGTGCGAGTCGGGAATCCAATGGCTGCGTCAAACAAAAACAAAAACAGAACACTTCCTTGAGTGACGCTAATGACCTATGGCTGGCCTGCGCGTAACTATTGGCGAAAATGCTTCTTCGGTGAGCAGTGCGCGGTGCAACACTCACGCGCGCTGAAATTGGTTTCGGAATCACGGAGCCAACACTCTCTTGCTGCAGATTCCTTTTTCGCCTGGGAATCGCAAGCTAGCGTATTACCACAGTACGGCAACCACTGGGCATGGGTAGAGACGATCGAGACGGCCACGGCGAGGATGACGAATGCGCAGATCCTGATGTTCATGATTGCGGACGATAGCTGCGTACGATGCTGTGGGGTAGTTCGCCTGGCTTGGCGAGTGTCAGAATGAGAGTCAAGGCGAAAAAAACGGAGGTCTAGGCCGTTGAGCGCATAAGGAAGGTCAAACGTTAGGAGACGAATTCACCTAGCCGAACACAGAGTTGACCATCCATGTATTCAGTTTCAGCCTGCTGTAAAATTTTACGTTCGAGAGGGTTGCGACTTGCTGACTACGCCATCTGTAGGGCGCTCTCGTCCGGCACTACTCGAGGTTCAAGATCGCCAGAGATCCAGGTATTGATGGGTCGTTCATGCATCCAAAAAAGCAATACGGAAAATACAATCGCACGACCATACTTCCAGCATTGTGTAAAAACGAGCTTCTAAGTTGTGGACGAGAGGTACTATATAAGTCTGCGAGCGTGGGTATGGACGGCCATCTGTCATCTCTATTTTCGTGGCTTCATACTGCTCTATAACATTTAGTTACAACTGCAATGCCAATTTGTACAGCTGCTTCGAGTTGCTGCATCAAGTGCGCTTCACCCTTGCCAAGCCTCGATCAGCAAAAAGCTTGATCGACACAATTTTTGTTACCCATACATAAAACGCTCGGACGGGTCACAGTGAAGCTTTTCTCATTCTGTAAAAATTTGCAGTTCTCACCGCATCCCACCGCTTGTTCAACTTTTACGAAGTGGTCACGTATGATCTGGCACATCTGGAACGAGCTGTTGGCACTAACTACCGTGGAAGGGGTAACTTTGAGGAATGTTTCGAGCGTCGTCGTTGACGTCAATAACGAATAGAAATGCAATATAAGGTGCACGCATAGTACCCTCAGCATCACCACCAAGTCTAATGGTCGGTAGACCACGAGTTCACAACTCTTTAGAACCTCTCGAAAAGTCCAGCTGGTATCCGTGGAAACTCGAGCACCAACTAGCAACAAGGGCTTCGTCTGAAGTAACAAGCAGAAGTTTGTGATTTCTCCGCGCATAAAAGTGAGGAATTACTTCATCAGCGTATGATCGTCTTCGAGAGGGTGCCCTTCATGGTAGCCGTTGTGGACGTCGAATGTAGCATCAACGAAGCAATGACGCAACGAGCTGAAAACAGCCGCCACCTGGTGTGTACCATACGGAAGGGGTCGTTGGTCGTCTTTTTTGGCATTCGTGAGTATAGCGTGTCAGGCGGGGGGTTGGAACAGAAGAAATTGTTGCGGTGATTCGTATTGTAAGGGGTGTGTTAGCATCTGACGTAGGGGGGAAGAGAGCCGACAAAGGAGGGGCTGTTTCGTCTTACCAGACTGTCCATCTGCTAGATGATTAAGTTAACAACGACCGGGACGGTAGAAGTCGTCTAGCAAATGCTGATCAAAACCGATGTACTTGACTTCGAACAATGTGTGACTTAGTACAAGACATCGGACATCAGAGACAACAAAGTGGGAGTGCAACGAAGTACAAGATACCGTGTTCCTCATTCAAGATGTCGTGTTCCTCATTCAAGATGTCGTGTTCCTCATTTGAGATGTCGTGTTCCACTAGATGTCTTTCTCTTTTTTCTTGATTCTAATGTGGCTCAGTATGATGCTAGGACACAGCACCGGGACAGTAGTTGGCTGGGACGCACCGCTACGGTTGGTACAGTTCCAGCATGTACACGCCTGTTGGTGGATACTGGTCAGTCCAACAGAGGGGGTTGTCACCTTCGAGTTTTTTTTCCTTCCTCAATCTTAAAGTGAGAGAGGCTCAGACTGTTCTTTGTTATAGCTACTTTTCACTGATATGATGTCTGGTTGTGTGGTAACCATCTCGTGTCACCGACCGTGACACAGTCTTACGACTCCTAGCTTTCTCATTCTGCTGGCTCAAGTCGTCGGGCGTCACGGCGGGGCACTCCCGAAAGTGCCCGTGGAAACCGTCCGTTGACCAAGTCCAGGGTTGGATTCTCGTGTGCACTCTACCGGATGGCGCGGCTGCTCTCGCGCTCGGGGCAATTTGATTCAGGAGACAGAGGAAGCTTGACTAGGACTCCTGTTGCTACTGCGGTAGTTTCAGTGAGCCATCTTGACGTAATTTCTGGTCATCACCTCGTAGTCGACTTTTTGCTCTTCAGGTCGGCTCGGGCTCACAACGTGCTCACATGTGGCTAGATGCACCACTAGACGACGAGTATCTGGGTCGGTGCTACTGTACATAAAGAACCGGTACTGGATCTCAACGTGAGTCATCGCGGTCTTGGGGGAGCTCTCTTCGTGGAAACGGGCTCGTGCTCAGCGAACGTGTCGGCGAGTTGTAGGCAGAATGTGAAGGGTAGGAACTTCTTCGTTTTGCAGGGTGATTCGATTCATTGTCGACGTGCCCTTCACTAGGACCACTCCTGCGGGACATCGACACTCACCTGCGCATTGTGGCAAATTGTTCTTGACGATCAACTTTATTTGCGTCGTTGTTGAACCATTTTAAGGAACTTCAACGAGTGTAATTCGGACGCGCTGCAAGTGCATTGTAGGACTAAGAGGAGGAAGCGCACCAAATACAGTCAACTGTAAGTTTAATGACAACGAATACAATCAAAGACAATCAGCTCGTCTCAATCCGATTATTTACTACGTTTCTAGTACCAGTGCTCATGGTCAACTTCGAGGACGTCTTGTTGATAACTTCAGATTCCCTTTCTCACCTGCTTCAGTAGCTGTAGCATGCAGGAGAGCGAACAATACTCTTGAACGTCAGAATGTATACACGTAACATTCTTCCAATGAAAGTGTCTCCGAGTACACCGAGCGCATTCATGATAGCCAGGTCAAAAATCAGTTTGGTGAAAGAGAACGTCTATGAAATAACAAGTAGTTTAAGAACAATGCCAACGAGACTTCGTTTCGGTGGAAGCGTGTGTGTCTCCAGTATGTTTTGGTGTGGTCGCTTTACAACTGCGCCGCCGACACCAGCAATTGCAGCTGATATACCGTCATCGTTACAGACACCTGTAGTGTAACGGGGTTGCACGAAATCATGGTACTTTGTACCAGAGGTGTTACACACCTGAGGGTTCGCTTCTGTGAAGGTGATATAGAATATCTTATCGGTTTGTAGGGGCTGACGAGTGTCAGCCATTAGATACGAAAGATCTTTGAGTAGGATTAAGATATTCTATAGGCTTTAACAAAAATAAAATCAGTTCCCATTTTGATCTGAAAGACACGTGGCTTGCGAGCCGTCTTGATCGTTGATCTCTGATCACTAAGAGTTAGCGACACCTCCTTGAGGTAGCTACTCTTGAGCACTAAGTGCTGTCGATTCACTGAATCGTTAGGTCCCCTGGAACAGGGATCTGAAGCTATAAAGCTTGTTGACTCGTAAAGTCGTTAGTTCTTTAGAACTAAGTTGCTCGTAGAGCGTTAAGTCTT